GCCCTGGCGGGGGGTCGGGCTAGAAGATCTACTAGGTCCCTTCCAACCCTAAATCTATGAAACTGTCTATGAAACTAAGATTGATGTCCCATCCTAAAATGTCCCCTTGAGGTTTCTGTGTAACAGGTCTCTCAGCTACACTATCTTCTGAGATGGGAAGGTGCCTCTGAATGGAGGGTCATTTGGGAATCCCTTTACCTATGTTGCTTTTTGCCATTGTTCTATCTCAGTCCTGCACCATCTCCCCAGGGCCTGAACTGCCAGATTGGGGCCCTGCACTGTATCCCTGGGGCATGCACCACCTGCTGAATTGGGCCCTGTAGCTAGCCCGTGTGCCCAGATTGGACCCTGGGTCATCTCCACAAAATGGATTTAGAAATATAGCAGTAGGGGAGCGCAACTGGTGCTACCACTCCCATACTGCCAAATTTTCAGGCCCATGGGGGTCCCCTGTAGGCTGGATAGCATAGCTCTGTGGGCCGGATCCGGCCTGTGGCCTGGGAGTTGAACACATCTGTTTTAGAGGAGTTCTTTATTGATCTAAAATGAATCAGCCTGCAGTGCATGGTGGCTGAGAAACAGGGAGGCTGGCACAGTCTGAGAGACTCATGGAAGTATGATATTCTCTGCTTTGTAGGATGGCTGTGATGAAGGGGATTTACATCATGTTTTCCAACCACAGAGCTTATTTCTAAATGGTGTCATCATTTTAGTGTAGACCACCCCTTCCTTTCCGCTACAGCACTGTATGTGATGGCTGTTGCTATTGCTTTAAGGGTAAGAGGAGATCATATAACAGGGTAGAGTTAATCTCTGCAAAGGTGTGGTTAAAAGCTTTGGGTTACCTGTCTAGGCAAAATAATATACTTGCACTCACTTACTTCACCAAAGACTCCCTAATATTCATAAAAGAATTCTGAATACCATATAATTGTGCCACAGCTTTTCCACTGGTTACCCACAAGGATCAGACCTCATCAACTGTGCTCATATATCCAGATTTTCAAGTGTGCAGCAGCCCCACCTGAAGCCAGGTTTTTAAAAAAACATCTGCATCCTAGTGAGCACTTCTGAACATCTAGCCACTTTGGTGCCTAAGTGGGAGCTGAGCTGTTTTGAAAAGTCCAGCTGATTGTGAATACCAAACCCTTGAAAACCTTCTGGCACAAGCTTCTGTTGAGGGAGTATATGTTGATTTGTGTCTTTTGACTGGGATACTTTGTCACATGAATGATTGGGGACATCTGCACTCCCTTCATGTCACACCTAGGAGCATCACCATGAAGTAGGCTCTGCTCGCTTGCTTCCACTCAGTGTGTGGAAGATGCTAAAACATGTAATGTAGCTGATATTAGAGTGGTCCTAACCATACAGCAGAAAGCTTAGCAGTGGTGCTGAGCACATGCAAGTGTTGACCACCAGTTCTAGTATGCCTCTAGAAGTTGTAGTGCATACTTCATTGTGATGCCCCCCCAGCACTGTTGGAAGCAGTGCAGACCTGCCCTTCACTTCTCCTATCACAAAATGACGTGACCTAGCTCTTCACATAGCATCGCTCTTCACATAGCGTCTGACAAAGGAGGTTGTTACTTATGAATGCTCATGTCCCTCTAATCCTTCTAGTTTCTATGGTGCCACTCTGCCCTACCTTCTGCCTAACTCTGCTCTTTTTACTCATAGATTTCAAAGTATATTACAAAGGAGACATGACTTCCCACTTGGTAGGGAAATCTGTGGCATGAGGATGAAGCAACATGCCCAATGTGACTCAGCAATTTGGTGTCAGACCCTGAGATATCATCCAGGTTTCCTGATGCCCAAGCCCTTTCCTTTGCCCATTGTGTCTGCTGTCTGACTGCCAAATAGATACCTAAGAACAAGGTCTGTTTTATAATGCAACTACTGGGATGGGTAGTCTCATGTTGGAAATAATGCAGAACCTAAATGCATTTGACAAAATGGCCCGGACCTACCATAAAATACCTACACCTCATGCCTTTCAGATGTACCTCATTTTGAGGAATGTCATACATTATAGTCCTAAAATTACCTACAGTTCAAACAGATGCAGTGTAACCTGGCATTTATTCTAAAAATGCCAGTGTAGAAATGAACCCCATCTCCTTAAGTGTCCTGTAAGAGCCATGTTTTTGTGCTGTTTATTCAGAGTCTGTGTTTCATGTTGTGTCCCCTGTTTGGCAGGTGAACAGACACCACCGCACATTTCCTGCTGCGGATTGTCTGCATGTGCCTACAAATGGGTGATATTGCCATGTAATAGCATGCTCAGACAAAGGGTATGAGAACCATGACTTATGTAAACCAAGGGGGGGTTTCCTGAGTGGTAGACAGCTGAGATTTTGAAGCAGAAGTAACAGGTCTCTAAACCTAACAACACATAAATATATGATTTATATAAAATAAGTGTGTAGCATATCAAATTCCTATGCTGTAGATCTCCTTTATTGCATGGTGCACAGAGTTCAAAATTAAGGATGTGTCAGGTACATAAAACATGAAATTGTTTTCAATATATTATATACCTGTATATAAAATCTTAGCACATGTTTACTTATCAATTCAGGATCTTAAAATGACAAGAAATTAATCAGCCAGGTATTAAGACTTTATCACTTCCCTTTTAAGTAACAATATAGTCTGGGGCTGTTTGTTATAAATCTTGAAGTTGCAGGAATCAGGGCAGTGGTCAAACAAATTATATATTGGAAGGAATGTGCTCTGAACAACTCATTTCTAGTGGGCAGAGAAAAGGACCAGTAGTTCTAAGTGTTCCACATAAATACTCAATGACAACGTAATGGCACGAATTAAAAATAAATGCTCCCTGCCCAGTAACATAAAATAAGACATGAGTCAGAAGATAAAAATTTGAGAGACTGACTCATAAAGAACAGCATGAGTGAAACTCTATTTTCTATTAATTATGTTTAAAGATTGGATCCTATAGGTCAGTTGCATTAATGAGAAACAATTTGTGAGTTCAATAGAAGGTGATTTGAACTACAGGAAGTTGTCATTGCTTTCTATGGGGTGTTCTGGTGTGGGGAGGGCTGTTTTGTTTGACACTGATTCTTCTAAAACAAAACCAGTTGTATATTGAATTTCAAATTATCACTGACCTTCAAGCTCAAGCTGAGAGACAACTGACCACAATTTAATCATTTCCTCAATGAAATGAATTCTCTCTCACTCTTATTGTTTATGCACAATTATAGCAAATGTAATGTGTGCTGCTGCTCAAGTGTACTGGTCTGCATGACAGTAACGTAAAATGTCAGCTCAGTCCAAGCACTTTCATTTGAAGAATTGATAAGTTCTCCCATATTGACAGAAGTGCAGAAAAGCATCAAGATCCCGTGTGTCATAAAAGCTTGTTACCTGAAGCAATCCCAGGACTTTAACTGGGCTGTGCTTTAGAAAGCTGTTATTCTCCATCTGACAAGACATTCAAGTTTCCTTTTATTTTGTTTCCCATTCGCCACTGCAAACAGCTATATTAAAGTAGTCATTTTCAGTAACTCAGAACTTCTTGGTGGTGTTAGTTCTGAGATTGCATGGCAGGCAGTATTTTCATGCATACATATTTAGCAGTACTTTTGCATATATTTAAAAATACTTATTATCTTCAGATCTTGTGACATCTACAGTAATAAGTGTTTTTACATGTTCCTTAGACATATAATACATCAAACACTACAGTACATTGTGTTTTGGTAACTGGAATATTCTCTATTGTCCTAGACAAAGGAAAATAAAACCTCTGTACCCACCTTATGGTCTGCTGATACATTAAACGGTATGTATAAAAATGTTAGTTTACCTTAAAAAAATAAAGCAGTCCAATGATGCAAAGAAATGCAATAGATTATCTACATGTTTACCTCAAATTATCTGTATCGATTTGATCTGGTTCATCCTCAAAGACCATTACAAACTCACTCTTTGGTAAAGTTCATGTTAAAACTAATATTTGAGCTGCCTACTTCCTGTTTCCAGTTATAACTTAAGTGGCCCATTTAGATGCTTATAAGCATTGCTTGTTTTTCCATTTTCCTTTCCAGTAGTTCTTTTAAACTCTTGTTTCTGTGTTTGAAGTAAAGATAATCAGACAGAGAATGGCTGAATCTAGTCTTTTCAAAGGGTTTAAAGCTCATGCATTCTTTGTTGTTTGAAAAGTTTCTCTTTCCTTGGTTTTCTTCTCTGTCTGGATTTCCTTTCCTCTTTTCCACTCCTTCCTCGCTCAGTATTTCCTCCTTCTCATCACAGTAAGACTCCCTGAAATCTTTCATTATACATTCTGGTTTGCCAGACAGATCTTGAGGTGTATACAGCTTGCTGTTGTCATCATGGTACATGCCAGGACTGTACTGCTCTGCTTCGTAGCAGTTGTCTTCCTCTTCCTCCTGACATGAGCTTCCCTTGGCACTCTCACCATCAGAATGAAAAGAAATTCCTTTCCCTTGGCTTTTCTGGGAAAGATCAAAAGGCTCTTCCTGTTCCAAGCTTCTCAAGACACTTGCTTGGGACAGTGTAATTCTTCCTCTTCCAAAACCTTATAGTGGTTTAAAAGAACAAGTGCTTAAAAATCTTAAACACTGCTGTTTGCTAATTACTATAGCACACCTTTTCTTTTTTTGTGCCTATTTTACAAATGAGGAGAGGGAGGCACAAAATAATTTGGTGAACATGAAAAAAATGCTCAGTGACAATGACAGAAAAGCCAGGAGATCTACTTTGAGTTACCTACTTTTGCCATAAGCCATATTCACTTTCTTTCCCGTTATTTTTTCTATGCTTTGATATTGATTATCCCACAGCCAACCAACATTGTGACATTTGCTCCTTCTTGCAAGGCAAATGACACATATTTAATCTTTTTACCACCTTTTATGAATGTTCTGGTTGCAGTAGTGTGACAGGGAGGATACATTCATTTCTAAATACCTAATACATGGCCTCTCTGTATCATTTGATTGTCCTCACTGAGTGTCACTAGTAAGTTGCTGTGCACTGTTCTGTTTTCATCTAGTTGTTTGGGAAATGGTTATAGTCAGATGATGTGTTTGAACTGTGGCCTATCAGCTGGAGTTTTTTCTTCTTTTACTGGTGTTTCTCTCAGTATTGCCTAAGTATATGCTCTGTGTATTTCTCCTTATGCTTATTGAAAAATAAAAGAATCAACTACACACCCAACTGCAAAGAAACTCAAATCTGGAGATCCTGTTGATTGGGCCCCTTCATTGGGTGAAATCCTTGTCTCATTGGGTGCATCTACTTGTGCAATTAATGCCAAGCAATAAATAACAGAGCAGTTTGTGCCAGAGTAAACTACTCCTGGGCACAGTGTCTACACTGATGTGTCTACACTGATGTGCCTGGGGCAGCAGTAATTTGAGCTGGGATGGACCAGGCCTGGGTTGGTAGAGGGCATGGGAGGTCAGGTCCAGCTCTGGGTGGCAGCACTGGGCAGCGGAGGGGCTGGCAGGGGCAGAAAGGTACAGGCAGCAGGCAGGAGTCTGGCCCCTGGCTAGCTGGGCAACCTAGACAAAATTTATGCCTAAGGTCAGCTGCTACATCTATGTTTAATTGCAGTAAATTACCCTGGCATAAGATAGTACTGTCAGTGACAGTACTATCTTAAGCCATCATAAATTACCAAGGTCTAATAACACCACACGTGTAGAACAGTAATGCTTTACTCTGAAGCTAATTAGTCTGCTCTGCAGTAAAATTCATGTGTAGACGCAGCCACTGAGTTCAATAGCAAACTCCCACTGACTTCATGGGGGCCAGAATTCATTGGGTTTTATTTCTTTAATAACTAGCAACAACTTCTGAACAACTGATGCAGTCTCTATTGTTACAGCTGGTAGGGCTGCCAGGCTCTGGAATGGGCTCCCAAGTGAGGTGGTGTTCTCTCCTACCTTGGGGGTCTTCAAGAGGAGGCTGGACAGATACTTGACTGGGGTGATATAACCCCGGCACCCATTCCTGCCCAGGGCAGGGGATCGGACCTGATGATCTGTTTAGGTCCTTTCCGACCCTAAGCACTATGATAGTGTGTGACAAGTTATTGTTGAAAGGATTTCTCACCAGATAGCCACCCTTCTAAACAGGGGCAGGTCTAGGATTTTGTTAAGGGGGGTGTGGGAGCAGCGTTTGGTGCTGCAAGGGTGGCTGCAGCCCTGCTCTCAGTTCCACCCTCTATGGGAGGAGCAGACAGGGATTTTTAAGTCCCCCCCAATCAGATAAGAATCTTCCCTCCATCCTCTCAGTCCCCCATCCCATCCCATCCCCTCCATCCTCAGTGGCACATCCCCTCTCCTGCTCTTCCATTCCCCCTTTTTCACTTGCTGCTGCTGCTGTCCCCCATTTCCCAGATGATCCAGGGTGTGGAAAGGAAGCTCCAGAGCCACTCCTGTCCTGCTGCAGAAGTGGCAGCAGACTGCTTCCCCTTCCCCAAGCCTATTCATAGGCTGGCATGAAACACTAAGGGGAATGGGCAGAGAGGATAAAGCCAGGGGCCCCAGCATGCCCCTGGCTTTCTATATAGCCCAGCCAAAGCAGAGCAAGAGCAGCTCTGGAGCCACCCTGTCCCAGAGGCAGCTGGGGACATCAACAGTGGGGTGGGTGAGGGTGGAGGATATGAGGATGGGATGTGCCCCTGAGGGACCTGAAATTACATCCTCAACTGCTGCTCCCACGGCGTCAACCAAAAGGCTGGTGCATCTGTGCCACCACACCTCCCCTCTGGATCTGTCTCTGCTTC